AAGGACAAGGATTGGCAAAGCAAGGACAGCATTCCTACAATTGAAGAACATGTGGAACTCAAAACAACTTTCAACCAATATCAAAGTGAGAATCTTCAACACCAACGTCAAGGAAGTTCTAATGTATGGAGCTGAAACTTGGAGAATTACAACAACCATCATCAAGAAGGTACAAGTATTTATAAATAGCTGTCTTCGCAAGATACTCAACATCCATTGGCCGGATACCATCAGCAACAGCCTTTTGTGGGAGAGAACAAATCAGCTTCCAGCTGAAGAAGAAATTAGGAAAAGACGATGGAAATGGATAGGACATACATTACGCAAATCATCAAACTGCATCACGAGACAAGCCCTAACTTGGAATCCTGAAAGGAAACGGAAAAGAGAAAGGCCTAAGAACACATTACGTCGGATAATAGAAGCAGATTTGGAAAGGATGAATAACAACTGGAAGGAGCTGGAAAGGATTCCCCAGGACAGGGTTGTATGGAGATTGCTGGTGATCGGCCTGTGCTCCTTCACGAGGAGTAACAGGCGTAAGTAAGTAAGTAAGTAAATAAGTACATATGTATATGGGGAAGAGAATGAGTCATTGAGTGATATTTAAGCTATCAACATTTTAGCTAGAATCTGTCATTTGATCAAGCGTACATGTTTAGTACAAAGAAATATGCGACTTGGTACTGTTCGAATAACATTCTCTGCTAAGTAAGTTAATACAAAGGGCTTAACCAAAATCAACCATAATCGAAATTGATTGTGGGATAGTTGTTTCAGCATATGTAAGTTAAATTCACTTTATATATTTGTTGATTAACAAAATATATCTTCATCTGTTTAGACACGTTTCATTATTCAGTAGTCTTCAGTCATATGGATTATAACAAACGGGATCTCAGACTTGTATAACCTTTTCTTAAGCAAAAATAGATAGTGGTTAGCAGTCGAATCCAATTTGACGCGCGTTTCGTCTTATTTGGGACTCGTCAGCTGAATACACCATCTCAAAATTAATGTTCACTCTGAGACATAAACACAACACCGTTCACTTCAAACGCCATCACATTATCCATTTAGCTACTGAGTCTTGATAACCACTTGCTTGTGCAATGGGATGAAGTTTAAATTCACTTGGTATTATTGCCCTGAATCTTCCCATTGATCCAGATGACGAGTCCTAAATAGGATGAAACACGAGTCTTGGATTTTACTGCTAGCCACTATCTGTCTTTGCTTATATTGCTTGTGAATTAAGGTTATATCGAGGCAATACGCACAGTATGCACAAATGCAAATAAGAGACTGTCTTAAACATCACTAATTAAGTTGCTTTTGGATTTTGTCTAGCACTTGAATTCAGTATGTACTTTTACTTCTACTTAAAATAGGTCAGTTATATTTATTTGTTGATCTTCATACAGAAGCTAACACAACAGCTGTCGTCACATAAAAGCCAACACGTTAACTACTAAACTGCTAAGTCCAGTTAACCAATTATTTATACAACAGTTATGAAGTTATACATTTAGGAGTTAGAGTTCTTGCTGAAGAAATACTGTGATCTAGGTCCATCCAGTTGGCCGAATTCAAGAAGAACGAAAAGCGTTTACTCAATTCCTCTGCCAGCTACATATTAAAAATGATCAAACTTGTAATTAGACGTTTATATCAAGTCACGTATTTTAAGAGACTGATCATTGTCAATCCTTATTACCGGCAATAGGGAACTGAATCCTTTACAAAAGATTTTACTTAAACATTTAAATCAGTCTTAACTGATTCATATATCATTTTTCCTTAATAAGTATTTGATAAGTCTTGCAGATTGAACGCTATATTCGTCTTTTAAGCTATTCTGTAAACCCCAAGATAGAACTATACAGCGACCTGAATACGAGAGAAGATTCATAGTACGCGAGAAGTAGTTTACTCCAAGGTTCATGTCAACACAGAAAATACAGGGTTTTTATAATATTTTAAATGTCCTTGGGTTGCTAGAAGGTTCTAGAATGCTACTAAACGTAGTAGCAGTGTAGCAACCAGCCAATCAGAACCTCTATATGTGAGTTTCGCTTCCTGAACTTCAATTGAACGCTGATTGGATGAAACGCTTCTTAGTGATTCCTGATGCTTGCTTGTTTTTTATTAGGCAATTTTCTGGATCACTCCAACAGTATTGTCAAATGTAAATCATTCGAATACAATTTTGCTTCTTATTTCAGTTTATGATATCGTATTGTTGTATCCTACAGTAGTGTGTAGTTGGCATTGAAAGTGGCATGCTTACGTAAAGATGATTAAAATGAAGGGATGAAAAAAGGAAACAGAGAGCAGTTGAAATAACAACAGGATTAGAAGAATGATGAAGTACGTAAAGAATAACTAAATGAAGATAATGTATTTAATGTATGATTTTCATAATTTACAATGGTACTGTGTAATTTTACTTAAAACAGTGAATTGAATTTCCCCATTAAATCTTCGTACACTACAGTATCAATTCAGAAATGAATATTAGACATTTGAGAATTATCGTTTAAGATAAACCCAGAGGTGAATAATTCGCTGATAAAAATAAACTTATACCACATTGGAATAAGATATTTTGGAATGAAAATGACATGATTGCAACTCCCCTAGGTGGTTCTTTCATATACACCAACCAGGTTTAAATGTTGGACATTCGCTTTTAGTCCTCTCAATTTCATAAATAACACAACTGCTGTGAAAAAGCAGTGAGTAGAACGCTCCTGGTAGTGGCTGTATATGAGTGACCATGTGAGAGCATATCGAGTGGGAAAGCTGACTCTCTTCACCCTCGGATATACCAGGACTAGCACTTAATGATGAACGACATGATTAGAATTTTCGATTATTTTCGAAAATGATAATTCGTTTAGCACTAGGGATTACCATTGGTTGTTCAACTCTCAAAATTAATCCCAATCTTCATCAGATAAGAATGAAATAATGAAGATCATTTTATTTATCAACTGACATTAGGTAGGTATTTAAGCCTAGGTCGTCACACGTTCTATGCTTATGGAATCCAGACTATTGGTCTCGGAGTTGGGCGTCTGCAGAATCCCTCATTCGGTTCAACAACGTTGTTGTAAACGTTTCCTGGCACTGATACTAGTGTGATGCCTACGTAGTTCTCGTAATTTCTGCGATCTCCTTTCTTTGGTACCTTTTGAAGTTGTACTTCTTTCCAGTCTGTCGTCACTTGTTCATCTTTCGAAATCTTTGTGGCTAAGATGTGGAGCGTGCTTGCAGTTACCTATTTGTTTGACTTCAGTTCTTCAGCCGGTACGTTGTCTGGTCCTACTGATTTTCCACTCTTGATTTGTCTGATGGCCGTGCTAATTTCTTTGATTGTTGTCGAGGTAACGTCAACTGGTATGTGCTACATCCATGTCTGATGAGTTCAGTAGTGTTGATTTATTCAAGAGTTTTTCAAAGTTTTCTACTCACCTGTTTCTCTGTTCTCGAATCTTAGTGATTGATTTGCCTTCTTTTTTCTTGATTAACTCCTCTGGTTTATTGTATGTAATAACATATAAGTGTAGAACCGTGATGAAAAAGTAATTTAAATGAAATTTTTTCACTTGATTCCTTTTTTTCTGCCTTGTTTATAACTAAACTTATGATTTGCATTCATTTAATATATAGACTAGAAGTTAAATTTAATATTGATCTCAGAAGCGTTTTTGTGGTGATTGTAGCAATTTCAATGGTTGAGATCATCAGGTACTAGGTTTGAATCCCGCTAGGCGGGGCCGTGGATGCGCACTGTTGAGGAGTCCTACACCAGAATGAAACGGCCGTTCAGTGCTTCCAGATTTCCCACCTTGGTCTGATTTCAATTGACTCATGATCTCAACCACGGAAATTACTTCAACCTCCACAAAACCCCTTCTGATATGAATCAACATATGCTTATTAATAATTGGCTACAAGATGTATATCCTGGAGTTCTATTGAGAGGCAATCATCAGTGGAGTTCAAACGGATCAGTGGTGAGATGGTAACTCACTGATGACAATGTCGGATGTGTCGCTCAATTTCGTGAAGTTAGACATTAATACCGTTTGATGTCTGCCTGCTCAGTGGTCTAGAGGTTAAGCGTTCGTGAGCAAGACTGATAGGTCCTGTGTTCGAATCTCGCGAGGTGGGGTCGTGGATGCTCAATGGTGAAGAGTCCCACAGTAAGACGAAACGGCCTCCCAGTGGTCTGGCTTAAATTGACTTATGGTCTCAACTATTAGAATTAATATTCATCGTCAGAAATAGGGCAATTATTTACCTATATTACACAAAAATTCTGTCACTATGCAAATCAACTTATAATTTTGATGCGTAAAACTGTTATCCCACCCCCCTGTTATGTCCCGATATTCAAAATGTATGGTAACTTTTGGGATCCATTTATGGACCAACACTATGCGTTTATTTTTATTGTATAATTAGTAAATAACTAAACTATTCATATTCATGTCCTTCTTATTATGAGCTTTATTCTGACCTATGAGCTATTATTATATGATTTACCATCCTTGGATTATACCCAGTGTATTAATTAATATCTCCCACACTCACAGCCACATTTGGAAAATTCTTGTACAAACGTTTTTCCCGATTTTATGGTACGATGTTGTCTGTCTGGTTGGTATATAAACCGAGTATGTTTGCAATTTATTATTCATATCACAGGCTAAGATTGGTGTTCTGGACTTAACTGGCTGGGCTAGGCAGGAAGCAGGATCAATTAGTACTCTAAACTGCTCGCATGGGTTTTATGCGTCATTGATTCGATCGATAATCCACTGCTCTCTAAATCGCAGTATCATTACGTTATACATTAACAGGGTACATAGGCCACAAGTTACAACACCTCCACTCGAGAACAACTATATTTTCTCCATGAGTGTCTTCGCCAGTTACAACACCTCCTACCCCTCAAAGAAAAAACAATCTTCAAAAAAAAAAGAAACTTCTTTTACACTCAATTTCTTTATTTTTTCTTTTCTTTAAAGTAATAAATTAATTAATAACATAATAATAATCATTGTTATTATTGAAAATCACAACGACAACAAACCCCCCCCCCACATAGTAACTTGTTTATACACGTGTATATATCTTTATGGGTTTGTTTTTGTGTTTTTATTTAACCATTTTCATACATATAATATTATCCATAGTAATTAGAAAAAACAAAAAGTAATCGTAGTAATAGTAATAGTAGTAATATTCAGTAGTTTTATCAGTAGTAATAAAGATTTTTTTAAATTAAATTATTTAACAAATAACTTGATCAAATGATTGTCTTTTGGATGATTACATTTTATTGATTGATCACTTAATCGATAATAGTAATAATAATAGTAACCATAGTAATAGTAATAATAATAATAGTAATAGTATTACGTAATAACCCATAACAACAACAACAAAAAAATCATTGTCGTGTTCTATTCTTAATCACGATTTATAAGTAGTATATATTAAATTCATTTAAAAAGGATTAAATCATAAGCTGCATTAATTTTGTTTATCTTTATTGTTTTTGTTTCTCGTTTTTATTCATGAATACAATATATATATATAATGTAAAGCATAATAGTAAATTAGGTCTCTGTCTCTTTCTCTCTCTCTTTATATATATATATAATAATTATCTATTTGATTTAACCTCATTATAATACATCATTGATCATCCTATTAGACTGTTCATTTCTTAATAGAACTTTTTAATGATACTAAAAGGATAAATGAAAATATTTGAAGACGAAACAAAAAAAAACGAATATTGATTTATTGAATAAAAAAAATGAAAAAAAAATTTGGGGAGGGGGTAGAGGCGGGGGGCGGGAGCGGAACGAAAACTGAGTTTATTTTACCTGTAGAAATTCAATAATCATTATGAAAGAAGATAATTGTGACTTTTTGTTTGTTTGTTTGTTTTGCTTTCCATACCATTCATTATTTATTATTATCACCTTATGAATAAGATCATTATTGATCCAATAAATAGATCTTAATCTTGTTTACATTTAGTCGGATAATTTGATAATTTCTAAAATATCTTTTAACCATGAATATGTATTTGGATCATGATCATATAAGTGTTGTAATGGTTGAATTAAATATTCACGTGTCATTTCATGTATCATATCTTTTTGTTGAAATACTTTAGAAAAATATGTTGAATCATTACGTAATAATGTAGTGGATATTAAATGATCATTTGTATTAAGTTTATTAGATTTTTTAGATGAATTATTATTACTACTTATAATGTTGTTAGTAGTATTATTATTAGTAGTTGAATCATGAATGAATGATGTTTGTGTATTTGATGTTAAATTTATATGTTGAGTTGATGAACAACAATGACTTTTTAACATTTCAACAAATCTATGATGTAATGAATAAACTTCACTAGAATTTGACAATGGAGTGAGGTCTGATAACAAAAAAAGGAACAAAAACAATCAACGTACTGTTAACGTATAGCAACTATCCTACAATCAATTTTGTGTTAAGCCCTTTTGATTTACTTACTTAATAGATAATGTTATTTGAATAGTAATAATTTGTCTATCTTTCTATTATTATGATCATTAGAACACATGACAGACTCTATCTAAAATGTTGATCGCTTTAATAGTATTCGATGATTCATCCTCCTTCCTATGTATATATGTACTCAAATCCTATTATTAGTCCTTGGTTTGCTTTGCATGTGTCCTTATACAGTTTGATTATGCATTTGTTTATGTAATTGCTCGCACACACACCCACACACATTCGCATGTTTGTTTCTGAATTCGCTCGGTGTGTTTAGAGCCTTGTGATTTATATTATAACGGTTACCGAGGTGATTGATTCATGCAGTAAAGCCACTACAAACTAGTCGTTTAATAATTTTGTTATATATACATAAATTTATACAACCAATACAAATGGAAAATACGGCGAGACTCTAATTTATGGACGAGCCAATCAGAGGCGTCTTAGAGATTTCAACGTTACGGTGCCAACTTCAGTGCTTAATGCTAATGTACGACCGGTTCACAGGGAATTTTGTACAAAACGTGATAGTTGAGCTGCTATAACAAATAAAACGGCGAGACTATAATTTGGTGGACGAAACAATCAGGTATAAGATAATAGATCACGGATTTTAACGTGAAAGCCTTTCATCTATTTGTCTAAATAGATTTCTGGCATTATAGCTGATGTCAGTTCGTGCTGAAGACCTAATATATAATTCCTAACTAAGGCAACTTATGACAATTATTGAGAACTGGATAACAAAAGTACCAGTAACACTGGCTGCAGCCAGGTACTACAATATATAAGGATGATTGGAGAGCGTACAGTCTCCTACATAGGCTTCGTTATGTGCATCGTGTCGTTATCCACAAGTGGCATTTTGTGCACTCAACAACCGAAGTGCATATAAACAATATTGAAGTTATGCGGTCGAGGCTGAAAGAGTTTCCTCTACTACATGCATTACGATTTTAGGACCTCTGAACCTCTTTTTAACCTTGACAAGTTTTTGAACCATGTATAAGTGTATCCACTTTAGTTCCTTGGTTTTGTATATTTTTACTCTATACTGACTGTTTGCGAATTAGCTAATACTTCTCAAGGTTACTTAAGATTCGTTCAAAGGTCGTCCATAAATTAGAGTCTCGCCGTTCGCTTAATTGGAAAGATTATAAACATATTCATGAAATAATGCTATTGTGTTGAATGATTAGAGGCTTTCATTTGAAAGTTCTTTAAATGACTAATTTTTCATGATAAACTAGGTAGCGTTTATTAGTTACTACGTCATCCCTCAGTACTCAGTCATCAGAAAGGTGACTACTATTTATTGCTTTGTTATTAATACGACTATCAATAAAGTGATGTACATGAAAGTAAACAGGAGACATTTATAAATAGAGAGGTGATAAACCTGGAAACTTTAAGTGGTTCATATTCCGTTTCAGAATTACACAGTAAGTGAGTAATTGAATCGTTCAGGATTTGTAGCTCAGGTGGATGTTTTTGGTCCAATATTATTCTTGCATTATTCCGTTGTACTATTTAAACTTGGATGAATTTTAATTTGGTTATTTGTTCTCTGAAGAAGTGACTTACACTAAGTCACGAAACGTCAGAAAATCCAATTTTCTACTCATTGGGATATTACAAATATATTATTTTTATTTATAACAATCAACCCAATGCTCAATTTATTCGAAATTATCAAATCAAACCTTGGTAATGACACCTATATTGGTGGCGTTTTGTTCTCTGAGCTGGATGGTTTGGATACCAAAGTCAATGCTCACATATAATATAAATATATACATTGTGTACAATATGATTCAGTGTTTAGCATAAAGTTTATTATGCGTTGTTAGACTTATTTCTCTACATATCCGGTTGTAAAAGTGTAAGGAAGTATGTATAATGATAAACTTGGATCTAAGACCATCTTCTTTCCTATGAGAGTTTCTGTTTTCTTACGAACTTTCATGTGAACTTCATTAACAGAAGTATCTAAAACCTTTGTTCATGTTCATTTTATTATTGTCTGTACCTTCAGGCTGATAAGAAACCGTATAACAGAATGAAAAGATAATTTTTTTTATGAGAAGCGTTTAAAGTTAATAGACGGGATAACATGAACTTAGATTTCATGTTAAATGGCATTCATCAGTAAGACATATCTACTATCTTGAATAAACGGATGATCTAGGTATGAATCCAATCCGCACTATCTGACTTTATAGTCTGAAATATCAACACTAAACTAATCTGGCCACAACTAATCTTCAGTAGTACTAAAAATGTTGTTGTTTATGTGTGGCTTGAGTTTGTTCAAGTGAGTAAGCTGACATTATCATTAATGATAATAGTAATAATAATGTAACAATACTTCACCTTTGAGTCATACAGACTGTTAACTTCATATCAGTAGGTTTAGACAAATTTACATAACTTGAATAAAGACAACATCAAATAGTCATTAATTGAAACAGATCAATCCTACCTATCACAATTTATACTTTAATACTAAGAAAACCTCATAGTTTAATACTAATTTCAGCAATGCTAAATAGCGTTGGAGACGGTTGAAAGAATGTTAGGGGTAGCTAAACCAAAAACGTGGCTGCAGTCCACAAAATCACCAAGTTCTAATCTTAGCCATATCGGGAAATGCAGAATACTTGGTTGAGATACGCGTGACTGATGTAATCAACGGTTGGAGACTCTGTGTGACATGGCTCAGAATTGATAAGAATGGTGTAAGTGTATACACTCTTTGTCTTCCCTTAAATTAAGAGATTAAGATCGCTTCATATCTTTCTTTCTACGAACTAATTCTGTCTTCCTGTACTATATCCTCACGTGCAATCTCTCTTTTATATATTACCACCTCTGAATTGACTACTTCTATGAATATGGTGTTCATCTTGTTGTGCTAATGAGGTATGGCAAATTGTATATGTGCCCGATCCTACGTTTTAACTGACTGACTAATTGACTAGAAAACAAATGATACATTTTGACTGATTTCATTTGACTTGATGCTCAGATCATCAATGGATTAACAGTAACAAATCAGTTATTATGATTAGAAAATAACAACCCTAATCAACTCTATCATATTATCGCCTATGGATGTATATTAATTGGATTCGTTCAAGTGATTTAGTTGTAACATATTTAACAGTAGAAACTTAAATGTATCATGTTTATTACAAGGTTTAAATATCCTTGCTTCAATCTTGATTGGTTTCTTCGATGGGTAATATTAAGGAGTTTTGTACAGCATATGGGTGTGGTTCAACGTTGTAGCTGACTGACTGACTGAATATTTATTTCATCTTTCATTACCAAAATTTATCAAAATGCAAGTAATCATCCATTTTGCCCCCAAATACCCTGGTATGGCTGAGAGTGGGATGTTCCCGCCCTCCCTCATGAAATGTTCTCACACGGCCACGCCTATACAGTCTCTGCCAGGGAAGCCCCACTCACTGCTTTCTCGTGGCACTACTGTTGTTTACGAAATTGAGAAGACGAAAAGCGAAAGTCCGGTGCTTTAACCGGATCCCAAACCAAACCAATGGCGCACATGGGCTCCAGTATCCTGCGAGAACAAATGGCGTATGAACCAATTTTCGGTCACTGGCTACTATGGGACTGCATCTCCTTACGATGCTCCATTGCCTTGTGGGTCAGACCTTAAGGTCAAAGGTTCAGGTTGTGGACTCCTAACCACGTGGTTCGGTTTGGGCCCCCGGGGTAGTATCCCAGCCCTCACACAAATAGAATGATTTATGTGGTGCATATGTATTTGGTGCCTCCTTGTACCAATGTTAATGTGTTTAAATAATTAAATAAATAAATAAATAAAACCATCCATTTTCATATCTTCTCAGCAATAAACATTTGCAAAACAAAAACAAAAGGAAAATAAAATGAGAGGACTTACAATTGATTGATTTATAATTCACTAAAATTAATGCAGCTAAACCCCAAATTGCATTATAATCATCTTGTATTAAGATTTTTAATTGTGTACTAAATTGTTTAATTTGATTAGCCCAATTACCAAAACCAGATTTTAATAATTCTCTATATGACATTGATTTACCATTTTCAAAAATAAATAAAATTTCTTTATTTTGAAGATGATTATTATTATGACTACTATTATTTAATAAGTAGTTTGTTTTATAATACTCAATAAAATGCGATTTATCCATTCTTGAATGATTCATTTGTTGATTCCAATTATGTATAGTCGGAATATAAATATTTTCATAATTAGATGATGTATTTGTTTTAGTCATGGTTGTTGTTGTTGCTGTTGATGATGTTGTTGTTAGTGGTAATAGTGCTGTTGTTGCTGTTTCTGTTGTTGTAGGTGTTGTTGTTGCTGAAGGTGTTGTTGGTGTCATTCTTATGGATGAAGAGATGTCGTACGGTTTTTCTATGAAAGAATTTTCATGTATAATTTGATTTAATTTTATACAATTGTCGGAATGATTTTCTGTAAATAATGTTGGTGTATAGTTTGAATGTGTCGTGACTTCTGTTTCCATGGCACATCTAATATATAAAGAAATAAATAAATGAGTAAATAAATCAATCTGAAATGAAAAATCAATATTTGTTATGATTTAAATATTTATATCCAAAGGGGTTTTGTGGATATTATAGTAGTTTTAATAGTTGAACTCATGATTCCATTGAAGCTAGACCATAATGGAAAACCTGGAAGTAGTAAACCTCCCTTTTTGTTCTACTGTGGAACTCCTCAACAATGCGAATCCACGATCCGGTCCCACGAGATTCGAAGTCAAGAACTATAAGTTTCGTGAACCGGCATCCACCGGTGTTAATGTCTAACTCCAACTAATCCAGGAAACTGAGCGACAAATTCATCATTGTCTTCAGTGAGTTACGATCTCACGACAGACCCATTTGAACTCCACTAGTCACTGCCAAGAGATAATTTAAGTGAAAATATCATGAAAAACATACATCATATTTAAATAAACACGCATACATTTCAATGTGTCGAATATCATTTCTACATAATTTTGTGTAATAGTCTGTGTATGTTATTGATAATTAAGAAACTCTTTGTATCTATGTGATTTAAAGCTGTAATTACTCAAACTACTAGCTTGTTGATAAAATCTTAAATATTCAAAATCCTATTGTGATGAACGAGAACAGAAGTGGGGATAACTGAATGTATTTGAATACAAAATTTCCGAAGCTCATAGTAAAATCTAAGAATTATTCAGTAAATTCCTCATTCGGAAAATACCCATCACTTGTCTCAGACTTCATTGTTCTTTCATTTCCACACTCATCATTCTTTGTTCTCAGTCCCTTTTCTTTAATCTTCTTAACCTTCTACTACCAGGCATTTCAGTTTCGACTGATGATTTATACTACTCATATCTGTCGACATTAGTAGCGAACACCACACCATATTAACAAGTATATATTACTAATCAGTCACCTGTACAGAATACACATGAATATGATTAGTTAAATTTATGTTTATAGTTGACTAATATTTATACAGTATTGACGAAGAAAAATGATTTTGAATTTTTTATTTCCAGTGACATCAGAAAATGGTTGAACAATATTATAAGTCGATTGAGGTGAGAAATACAGCCCATCAAATATCGGATCAATTATATGAAGGTTAGATGCTTGTAGCAAAACCTGATTGTTTTAAATTTGATGACAAGTGGGGCTATATATGAGCACTGCTTTAAACTCCCATATAAGATATAAGTGGCTATCTAGTTCTCTCTTATTTTCAATGATATTCTAATGAGAGTTTGTACTTGATGTACAAAATAATATAAATTTTTTGAAATTTATTTATAGCAATAAAAGGAAAATCAGCAATGAGTGTTAGTAGTCGTCGCCTTCGTCCTCGTCGTCGTCGTCGTCGTCGTCGTCGTCGTCGTCGTCGTAGTAGTAGTAGTAGTAGTAGTAGTAGTAGTAGTAGTAGTAGTAGTAGTAGTAGTAGTAGTAGTAGTAGTAGTAGTAGTAGTAGTAGTAGTAGTAGTAGTAGTAGTAGTAGTAGTAGTAGTAGTAGTAGTAGTAGTAGTAGTAGTAGTAGTAGTAGTAGTAGTAGTAGTAGTAGTAGTAGTAGTAGTAGTAGTAGTAGTAGTAGTAGTAGTAGTAGTAGTAGTAGTAGTAGTAGTAGTAGTAGTAGTAGTAGTAGTAGTAGTAGTAGTAGTAGTAGTAGTAGTAGTAGTAGTAGTAGTAGTAGTAGTAGTAGTAGTAGTAGTAGTAGTAGTAGTAGTAGTAGTAGTAGTAGTAGTAGTAGTAGTAGTAGTAGTAGTAGTAGTAGTAGTAGTAGTAGTAGTAGTAGTAGTAGTAGTAGTAGTAGTAGTAGTAGTAGTAGTAGTAGTAGTAGTAGTAGTAGTAGTAGTAGTAGTAGTAGTAGTAGTAGTAGTAGTAGTAGTAGTAGTAGTAGTAGTAGTAGTAGTAGTAGTAGTAGTAGTAGTAGTAGTAGTAGTAGTAGTAGTAGTAGTAGTAGTAGTAGTAGTAGTAGTAGTAGTAGTAGTAGTAGTAGTAGTAGTAGTAGTAGTAGTAGTAGTAGTAGTAGTAGTAGTAGTAGTAGTAGTAGTAGTAGTAGTAGTAGTAGTAGTAGTAGTAGTAGTAGTAGTAGTAGTAGTAGTAGTAGTAGTAGTAGTAGTAGTAGTAGTAGTAGTAGTAGTAGTAGTAGTAGTAGTAGTAGTAGTAGTAGTAGTAGTAGTAGTAGTAGTAGTAGTAGTAGTAGTAGTAGTAGTAGTAGTAGTAGTAGTAGTAGTAGTAGTAGTAGTAGTAGTAGTAGTAGTAGTAGTAGTAGTAGTAGTAGTAGTAGTAGTAGTAGTAGTAGTAGTAGTAGTAGTAGTAGTAGTAGTAGTAGTAGTAGTAGTAGTAGTAGTAGTAGTAGTAGTAGTAGTAGTAGTAGTAGTAGTAGTAGTAGTAGTAGTAGTAGTAGTAGTAGTAGTAGTAGTAGTAGTAGTAGTAGTAGTAGTAGTAGTAGTAGTAGTAGTAGTAGTAGTAGTAGTAGTAGTAGTAGTAGTAGTAGTAGTAGTAGTAGTAGTAGTAGTAGTAGTAGTAGTAGTAGTAGTAGTAGTAGTAGTAGTAGTAGTAGTAGTAGTAGTAGTAGTAGTAGTAGTAGTAGTAGTAGTAGTAGTAGTAGTAGTAGTAGTAGTAGTAGTAGTAGTAGTAGTAGTAGTAGTAGTAGTAGTAGTAGTAGTAGTAGTAGTAGTAGTAGTAGTAGTAGTAGTAGTAGTAGTAGTAGTAGTAGTAGTAGTAGTAGTAGTAGTAGTAGTAGTAGTAGTAGTAGTAGTAGTAGTAGTAGTAGTAGTAGTAGTAGTAGTAGTAGTAGTAGTAGTAGTAGTAGTAGTAGTAGTAGTAGTAGTAGTAGTAGTAGTAGTAGTAGTAGTAGTAGTAGTAGTAGTAGTAGTAGTATAGTAGTAGTAGTAGTAGTAGTAGTAGTAGTAGTAGTAGTAGTAGTAGTAGTAGTAGTAGTAGTAGTAGTAGTAGTAGTAGTAGTAGTAGTAGTAGTAGTAGTAGTAGTAGTAGTAGTAGTAGTAGTAGTAGTAGTAGTAGTAGTAGTAGTAGTAGTAGTAGTAGTAGTAGTAGTAGTAGTAGTAGTAGTAGTAGTAGTAGTAGTAGTAGTAGTAGTAGTAGTAGTAGTAGTAGTAGTAGTAGTAGTAGTAGTAGTAGTAGTAGTAGTAGTAGTAGTAGTAGTAGTAGTAGTAGTAGTAGTAGTAGTAGTAGTAGTAGTAGTAGTAGTAGTAGTAGTAGTAGTAGTAGTAGTAGTAGTAGTAGTAGTAGTAGTAGTAGTAGTAGTAGTAGTAGTAGTAGTAGTAGTAGTAGTAGTAGTAGTAGTAGTAGTAGTAGTAGTAGTAGTAGTAGTAGTAGTAGTAGTAGTAGTAGTAGTAGTAGTAGTAGTAGTAGTAGTAGTAGTAGTAGTAGTAGTAGTAGTAGTAGTAGTAGTAGTAGTAGTAGTAGTAGTAGTAGTAGTAGTAGTAGTAGTAGTAGTAGTAGTAGTAGTAGTAGTAGTAGTAGTAGTAGTAGTAGTAGTAGTAGTAGTAGTAGTAGTAGTAGTAGTAGTAGTAGTAGTAGTAGTAGTAGTAGTAGTAGTAGTAGTAGTAGTAGTAGTAGTAGTAGTAGTAGTAGTAATAGAAGAAGAAGAAGAAGAAGAAGTGGATGACCATTACACAACATTGAACTGACTAAAACCAGAAATTTTTGACAACGAATCGTGACTCACTCTTTTAGTGATAATTTCCATAATATAAGGAGATAAATGTTTACTTGTAATCCCCATATGAGATCAATAATACATATAATCAATAAGTTTCAACCAACAGCAAAACAGATATCGATCCTTTCTTGATCCACTACGATGGTAAAAACATTCTTTCAACCGGTAAATCTTTATCAGCTGTGTGTGATTCGTTTAATGTTTTAGAGTACCCTATTAAATTAGAAATGTCTTTTTCGTGAGAATAGATTAGTTACACTTGAGGATTTTCCAGCTTTTTTTGGATAATACAATCAAACTAGTTGTATCATATAATACTTAATTTTTAATTTCATATTTAACATTTTTGGCGAGACTATAATTTATAGACGAACCAGTCAGGTATAAGATAACAGATAACGAATTTTAACGCGAAATCCACTCATCCATTTGGCTAAACTGATATCAGTTCGTGATGCAAACCGTAAATCTAATTCCTAATTCTGACCATCAACTGTAAATCATTATTCGAATTCCTTACACTCTGTCTGTCCAGTTCACATTATTCTTAAAAGATCAATCAATCAAGTTATAATCAGTGTGGTTATGCCAGTCAGACAAGATATTAAAAGATATAAGTAACTTAGTGGTCATATCCCTAACCGAGACATTAGGCAAAGTTAGTCTGAATCTTACAAGGACCATTATTACCTTCTTAATTGCAGATGCTCTTCTCTGAAGGGTATTAAATAGCACGAGGATTTGATTTAAGGCTTCTCTCATCTGTTTTCAACTAGTTAAGTTAATAGTATTTCCTTAGATCCTTTATATAAAATGAATGAACGAATTATTGATAATCACGAAGGATGATAAGTTTTTCATATATCTCGTAGTGTCACTGAGAACAACAAGTGAAGTCCTAAACATCAGTGGTAAGATTCATTTATTCAGCACATATGAATTAAAAATTCATCTCATTTCACCAACCAATGGCTATCTGGAATCGGCAGCTAAGTGGATAACATGATGAAGTTTGCAGCTACGGTAATGGGTTTCAGTGTCAGGATGAACATAAGCTCTGATGGAGATACATCTGACGACTCCAAAGTAGAACAAAATGCAAGTCTTCAACTATACCCCTAATCATCATGAAACTCTGCTTAAAATGCCTGTAACATAATAGCAATTTCGAGGAAATCCACACAGGATACACATATGCTAAAAAAGACTGATCGGTTTTGCAATCCTAAACATCAGTGGAGAGTTTCAAATAACCAATACACATGAATTAAGATGTTCTGTATGAGTAGTTAACGATTACTCAACTGTA